AAAAAATCACAATTTCAGTTTTGTGGAAGTTTCCACTCAAGCCTCTTTCCCCATGGGCATGGACACAGTTAGTGTTACCATTAGCCCACATGAGCAGTTTATCTAACTGTAGCTCTTGAAGCAGGCAGAGAAGGTAAATTTGAGGCTGTGGTTTCTTCAGCATTTCTTTTGGGGCAGTGCCGAGGATGGCAGTCACTGTCCTCTCTGTCCCCACGTTCTCTCCACCCACCATCCTCGTAAGCTGTGATGAGATAGAACCAGGATGGAGCTGCACGGTCTGCCAGCAAAAGGAGGTGTTCATGAAACCATCCCTCAAGGAACTGAAGCCATGGCTTGATGATACGGCCATCTCTGGTAGCCACGTCCATTTGAGCTACTGCCCCTTTTCCCCCATAGCAAGCAGCAGCTCTTTTCCAGTCTCGTGCCACCTTCTTCATAGCAACGGCACAACTGTTTGTAATGTCATGTGCTAAACTACATCAACAAACTGATCCAGGTTATAAATAACAGGGGGAAAGAGAGGAGTGAGGGTATTTTTAACCTGGAATAGGGGCCTGTTCACTGATCCAGGTCACCATCTGGCCCCAGGGCAGTTGTGCTGGCACAAGTGTTGGGAAACAGGCAAGGAACCAGCGAGCAGGAGTGGACGGGAATATTCTACGGCCACATCTGCCACTGAGAACATGGTACATGCAACGGTATCACCCATACCTGGTGTTAGCAACAGTACCGTCCATGCCCAGTGTTAAAAAGTGGAGCAGACTTAGCACGACTTGGAAGAATTTACACCACATTTTCAGCCTCCACAGGCTCATTACTTCGAGGCAAAAACACATGAGCTGCACTGGGAGGAATACCACTACTTTTAAACTGCATGGGGCTAACACCTCCAAACTCCTCCCTCTGACTGCCCTTCATCCCCTAAAAAAGCATGAGTTTGTGAGATAAAAGACAGACAATGCCAATATACAACTAGCTTTTCAAAACCAGCAAACTACAGAAAGTTTCAAAACATAAGCCATCTCCCGCAACATGAGCTCAGCCATACTATAGACAGCATTTTTCAATTGTTTTTCTTTTGCTGTGCATCCTCTCCATTGCAACTGCTTATGATTAATATATGATATTAAAAACAGAGGGAGCGTGCAGTACAGCCAATCTTGATGTTACAGAAGAAGCCTTCGTCGCACACAGTTCAGCAAACTGCCCTGCGTAAAACCACTGCACAAACGGATACATTTGCTGTGCAAAGAACATTCACTGTGTGTCAACGCACCTTCATTCTTCTTTGGTTTGTCTGCTTGTTCGTTGCCACAAAAAAGCACTGCCTCCTCATGAAGGCAGCCTTTGAAAATCTCCAGCTGAAAATTGATTTTTTATCAGGTCATCTTAAAAAGCAAGAATGTCTAGCTCTTGGCGGACACAACAGCTTCAGGAGATTCAGAGATACGACTGAAGTCCTATCAGTTGACCCAACCCTGCCTTCTTGTTTTCCTCCCTCTCCTGCCTGTTTGCCCATTACACCCCAGCCACTCACCTAGGAGCTTGTGTTCAAGGCCATTTTTACTTGTTGGCGTCTATACACACACTAAAATATAAACCATTTTGCAGCAACACCCTTGTAGGAGTTTTGCTTAATATAACCGGCTTGCCAAAGACCCCCTGCTCTGTACAATGCACACGCATAAACATCATTTTTCCCCTAATACCGATATAAGATTGAGGAGTTCAAGAAAACAAGATGTTTGGTTTGAAGAGGCACAACCTCTCTTCAGAAGTGCAGCATCAGCCAAGCATTGCAGATATCACACAGGAGGATCTCATTTGATTTTAAATCTGAAGCTGTTGCGTTAATTTGTGGATGTAACTCTATAAAACACAAGTGGAATCAACAGGGAAAAACCCATGCTTTTCCTGATCTGTTTTGAAGACTTAATTTAAACTGACTGCTTTTTGAACAGCAAAAACTGCAAGACATCTAAGGATTCAAATATAGGCATACATTTTTTTTATTTCTTTGGCTGGGTTAATTTCGCATCTTTCCCATCTAAAGCTCCACAGTAAATCCCCCTGGGTCAGTTACAACTACTACTTTACACTGCTGAATTCTGCCAGCAATCTGCTCATCATTCCTGCAGATGTTTCTGCTTTCAGGCTTCTTGGAACTTTATTAGACCCATTCCTTTGAATAAATGTATACCCATTGTAGGCTGCAAATGCACCAGGGAAACTACTGTCCTCTATGTCAAGCAGTTTACTTACCTTCTTGTTCAGTAAAAGTAAGATGCTACATTTAAAAGAAAAAAGTGGTAAGCAGGGAATTTGACTTTTTTCCTCTCCTCTGAGAAATTTCTGAAAAGAGAGTGCTACATGTGTTCATACGTCCTGGGACCAGCCAAAGCAATTTCTGAAGGCCAGAGGCCCCTGCACACAAGTGCACAGAAATATTGTAAAGGGCAGAAAGGCTTGAGAGGTCAGGTCCTGCCAACAGAAAGCAAACATTCACGTGCAAGGACCACGCCCTTCAACATAAATATGAGGTAAGCCATATGCCATCTCTCATTATTAAATTTTTACCCATATTGCTAATAAAACAGAATGTTCCTCTACTCACCTCAGTAACGTCCATGACTTTGATGGCTGCCAGCTGACCCGTTTTGACATGCCGACCCTGAAGAAGAGAGAGAACCGTCAGCACCAGCATCTCACCCATCCCTTCAGCCTACACAGAGCAAAACATTCGGACGAGAACTCCAGACACTGGGTTTTCCCCAACTGTGCTGGACTCTTCTGATACTTGGTAAGAAAAAACAACAAATACTCTAGATGGCTAAAAAAAAAAAGTTGTTTCTTTTTAAAATGTTCTTCTACAAATCTTAGAACTCATTTCTTTTTCTCCACGTTAAAAGGATGATTATCAAGATTAAGCACAGACAGATCACATTGACAGCTTCCCTTCTGTTTACTTTAGCAAAGAAAGCTCATAGTCAGTAATGGTAGTTTATTAACACGTCAGAATAGTTAAACTCTATGTGTTGCATATTTTATTTCTACGCACCAGTGCCTGGTACCTGGGTGACATATTACTAGGTAAATGCAAGCATGCCTAGGGGCTTGCAAAAGGACATTTCTCTTTGCTTTTGCCTTCATTAGTAAAAACAAGTGAGGTTTCTTCAAGTGATGGATCAGACCTGCAATAGCTCTCTTCCCCTATCTCCCAACAGCTAGAAGAGAACAAGATGCTGTCTCCCTTCAGCTACACCACCATAAGGGTATGGTTTCTCAGTACAGCTGGAGCCGAAATGATAGATCCCAGCTCCTGCGGCGGGGAGCTCCTACCCTTCCTTCCCCTGCCTCCCTCCAGCCTCCTGTCACATTTCTCCCGGGAGCACTGAGCTCCTTCTGGCACTCATCGGATCATATGATAAGTTGATCGAGATCACTAAAATGGCAGAAAGTTAACACGGAAAAAGCAAACGGCGAGGTGGGGTGGAGGATTGCAGATCAGGAAATTAAACTGGTTTGCTCTGCGGTCAGAGCAGAGCCAGAGCTGGCAGGAGGCGGATGGCAGGGCTGGGAGGCAGGCAGCACCACGGGCCCCCTCAGCTGCGGTGGGCTCTAACTCGCTGACTTCTGACAAAAACCTTCTCTTCTCCAGTATATTTTCACATGAGGTGGGGCCATATCAATTAGCTGTTCTGTTTAGGTTTGGTGTGGTTTTTTTTTTGTAAACAGGCACTTTGCAATTGTATTGGTATTTTCCAGCTCTCCACTTAACACCCAGCAGTTTGCCCCAAAACTTCCAGTCAAACAGCCTGGTCTCCCAACGCCTTTCCCAAACATCATCCCCTAAGGCTCTTCTCTGAATCAGTCAAGCTCTCCAGCAAGAGGTACGCCCACTACACTTCTTCACTTTTATCACAAATAATGATAAAAAATACAACAAAAAAATTCACTAGTCACGGTTCCTTTACTTTTCTCCTCACCAACTTCTAGGTTTCCTAGGCAGAAACCTATACGTGGCATCCACTATAGCTGATGGACATCAATATTGTATTTTTTTCCTGGACTTCATCTCTTCACAGATTCATTCAAGACTGGCAGCCCAAAACTGAAGCATCCCAAACCACTAGTCTCTTTGGAGAAATCTTGACCTCTTCACACCTTATGATGCCCAGGCATTGCTGGTGCATTAGAAAGGATGAAATGCTGCAGAATTCACAGCCTCCGCTTTCTTTCACAACTCTTACCGTGCTGCGCTCTCCCCTCATTAACCAATCCACACGCTTTCTATAAATAAATTACTGTACTTAGGCTTTTGCCGGCTCTGTAAACTCTCTTTATTGCATGCATTTCTTTTTACAGCTTGGTCTGAAGCTGGTTTTGATTTTGAAACAAAGTTAGGGTCATAACATGTGTGCAGTGGCCAAGACTGACCTCACCTTGACCTTACTACTTCTTGAACCAAAGTCTCTCAGCAAGCCCAGGAGAGATACAACTCCAATTTCCCACCCTGGACCTCTGCCTAATGACAAAAGCCTGTGGTCTTCTCCTTAAGACTCACCACCCCACCAAGGGAGGAGAGGAAAATGTTTTACACTGAGGTAGAAAAATGCCTCCTCTCAGCTCTGCTCCTATTTTCCACAGCTCCGTGGAAGGAACTAAAAGGCTCAAACACATGGGGAAGTACAGTTTGAGGTACAAAAAGAATACACTACAGAGAGGAACGGGGGTATCTCAGAGGGAAAAAAGCTCACGCTAAGGAGAACTGAGGAAGAAGGAACTTTTTAAGAAACGGTGAAACACGGTTCATCATTCATTCTGCAGCAAAGCGGGTACGCTAAAATGGTGGCAGAACATACTCCAAGCAGAAAAAGTGGCACATAGAAGAGTGAAGTAGCAAGACATCCACGGGATGCCACACATTTTATGGAAAGTTTGCTTTTCTGGTCTTTGCTAGTTTTCCAAAGAGAAGCTTGAAATTTCCCAGGGCTCAGCTTCACAGCTTTTCTCAAGATGACGTTCCTCGCTGGGAGACTGGCCCACTCGGGATGACTAATGTGCACCAGCCCAGCCATCCCTTCCCCTGCAGCTTTACAGGATCCTGCTGGTGCCCCCACCAGTCCCCATGAAAACCTGGGCCCCGACAGCTACAGCACAGCACAGCGACGGCTTGTGTTTCGCTGGGCTCCTTCTGCAGCGGGGCTGGGAAAAGCTTCTCCATAACCCTCCTAAGGGACTGGAAAACAAGGGAACTGCAAACTGTGGGAAGTGTGGACTGCTCAGTATCCCAGGCCAAATTTAAACACTGGCCATTTCAGAATATTGTTTAAAATTACTCCAAATATCCTTTTCATAATGTATGGAGCATTCACATTCCAAGCATCTACAACATATAGGGGGGGGAGTGGCATGACATTAATTTATATGAGAGAAGTAAAAGGACATTTTGAAGCCACATTTTTTTCATTAAAAACATTTTTAGAGGGAGAGAAAAAGCAAACAACATAAGTACAACATGTAAGCATGAGCAGAGTTTTTGTTTGTTTGTTTATCTGCGTAACAGCTCTGCTCAAGAACAGACCTGTCAAACTATTAGCATGCTAGTATAATTTTGCTTGCAACATGAAATGGCTAAACATTCCCATTTTGGAAACTGATCTTCAGATTTTCAAAGCCAGCTTTTGTTTTGGAAATACTTGTCTGCATTAAAAATAATAATAATAATAATAAAATCACAAAGTGGCTGAATGTGACAGAAGAACTGCCGAAGTTGTAGATGGGAGAAACCCTCTGAACTCAATCTCCTAGGATTAAAATTTATTCAAATCCAACTCCCAAGGCACTTCATAAATGTGGTAACCATTAAGGTCCCATCCAGACACCATCTCAGCAATCCCACCGGCTAACACTCCGGCGGGACAGCATTTTTCTTGCAAAACGAGGCCCCTGCTTCAGTGCTGTCTGGAGCCGCAGCCCCTCAGGGTGTCCCGGGCTCCCCCATCCCCGGAGCACGACAGAAGTTCTTGCGGCTTTGTTTCTCCCGGCAAATTGCTGGCAATTACCACCGCCATGAGATTGCAAAACGTGGCCCACGCTAATTGAAAACTGCAGTTTCTTAAAATATGGCTAGATACCAAATATCAGAGGCTGGGGATCATAGGATAATTGTCCCCTGGCCAGAAAGTTAAATATGGATATGAAATACACAATGAAGATGACAACAACCTAGATGTATCTTGTTAAGCACAAGATGAGTGTCTCCAGAGCCAAGGGACTGAGGAGGCTGCAGAGGTTGCACTGCTTACTAGCAGCAACAGGTAGTGAAGAACACATCATCCCGGGGGTGAGAGTTTGCCCCTTACCAGGTCTCGGGGTAGGGGCCACAACAAAACATCAGCATCATCAGCTGAGTCTGGCTCCCACCCCCATGGAAAAGAACCCACCAACACATTCCCTTCATTTAAACTGTGTTAAGATTTTATCGACCAAACTTTCCAAACTACTTGTCGTTTCCTACACATCCTCCCCACCTTTCTTTCCCTCTTCTCGTGAATCTACTCATATTAAAGCACTTGTTTATCCTCCCAAGCAAGAAACATAAGAATATTTTTAAGACTGCTACTGCACCATTCTATTTTTAAATGGCCTGTGGGGAAGAGTAAGTCAATGGATTGAGCTCGCTGACCCCAGATCTTGTCCTGTTTCTTCTCATGAGGATGACAGAAAATTCATCTACATACGGAGGGGTTTAAAACACAGCTCTTCTCATCAACACAGCAACACTGCAGCATTTAACTAGATCTTAAACTGAATGCACTACTCAAGCATATTCCCAGTCATGTCTGATAGCAATATGCTGTTTATTTCTCATCTCAGTGGGCTTTATGCATGTTGAAAAGCAGAGGGGACAAGGGGAATCCTTGGTAGACTGCCAAGATCTGCAGAACATCATAAATTTCAAGCCTACCCACACTCTCCAAGTCAGTTAATACACCTACTTCTTGCCTCTTTCTTCCTCTGCACACATTATTACTGTATATTTTTTGTTCTGAAAGGTTCAAAGACAAGTGGTGTTATGCGCTGTTTTTCACGGTGCTTTTTTTTCCCTAAGATGCCCTAATGTTATCAAAAAACTATGCAAATTAAATGCAAAAGAAATCCTATCAGCTCATTTACCTCCTACCCCTCCTAATTATCCAAGATAGGTACTCCACAGTAATGTAATTCTCCTACTAACACAGTTTCTGGCTGTGTATTAAAGTGCCTTTCGGGGGACTGTTCCTGGAAGCTTGCTCCCCAGCCAAATGGCATGGCAGTAGAATAAAGGGCAACATCGCACATTAAGGAAGGCAGGCAGTACGCGTGACTCATGACCTGCAAGCTTGGATTATCCTGTGCACTGTATACAATTAAGTCTTTGGAAAACTTCTCCAGCCTCCCAGTATCTTATGCTGACAGTTATGGAAACAAGAGAAACCAAGTTGGAAAAAAAAAAAAAATCTACTCATTCACTTTTCGGTTGCTACAACGTATACAGAAGCAGCAGGCTAGATTTAAACATGTTATCAAGTGAAAACTCAGGGCAGAACCACCTCTTAGTAGTGCTGTACAATGCCCCCATGACAAAATTAACTTTTCAATTTGCTTCCCATTTAGTTGACTCT